TTATGTGAGTGTGTTCTCAATCCACAGTTTCCATCACTGGAAGGAGGCTCTATGAGCAGTGCTGGGGTGGGTTAGGATTTCTGCCTGCTTTTCTGTTCTTTTGTTTGCTTCTCTCCCAAGAGCTTTGAAAGTCTGAGCTTCATCCTAGTGTGGAAGAAGGGAAGAAAAGCAAAACCCCTCGTGGGACAGGACTTTGTGGTGCCCATCTTGGGGAGGGGCATGACTCTCTCAGAGAGATGTGTAGGGAAAGCAGAGCCAGGAGCAGAGGTCTCTGTGGCCTGTGGTGAGGGGAGCAAGGGTGTGTGCAAGTGGCTGACGAATTCCTGCCCTCACAAAGACACCCCAACTGGAATTTATGAGAATCCATTCACATTAAAACACTTCTAACTCACTGTCTGGCCATCAGCTGGCTGCATCCCAGGAACAGTGGCATGAGGATGAAGCTGCAGCATCGCACATTCCTTGCTATCACCACAGCTTCTCTCTTGATGAAACAAAATCTCCCCTTGTCTGACAGTTCTGAGAACTGAAGCAAGAAAACCTCAGTGATGTTGCTGTGCTTGGAAGCCTGTGCAAAGCATGGCAGTCTTCTGAGCAAAACTTTTCCATTGCTCATGCTGCAAAGTCAGGATGCAAATAACAAATTGGCAGACTGGGATTTCAGAAGATTCTGCTCATATCTGAGGGTACAGAGATGTTACCGCAAGATTGCTGAAAAAAATAAGATTGATGATTTCGTTGTCTGGAAGATGTGTATCATTAGCAAAGGCATACAGCAAGGGCAAGTCCTTCCCTGGCCCTGTGGAAGCCCATGGGGAAGCTTGATGGGACTCAATCCAAACGTTGCTGGTGTTACTCAGGCAGGTCAGGGGCAAAGGCATTACTGGGGTCTGCCCTGCCTGACCTGTGCAGTTTTAAGCCTGGGAATTTATGGAAACAATATATTGCAGGACATCATGGTGTTAATGTAATTTTTCTGACCAGATCCACTCAATAGCCCCAACAAATCCCAGTGATGAGTCAGTTGTCAGTGGTCAGTGCCAGCACAGAGTGACACTGCAGACCACAAGGCAGAGAGAGAAATGCTGAGACAGCCTAATGGAGCATCCAGCTCGGTCCAAACAACTTACATGTTTTGTTTTGTTCTTTTAATTCTTGGAAAGATTTAGAAAAGGATGGCAAATTTCACCAGAAGTGAAAGAAAACCACAGAGGTCTTTGTCTGTGGATTAAGCGTTTTCAAGAACCAGCAAGAATAAATGTTTTCCTGCTTTCACTGCTTTCTGTACCTTAGGACCAAGCCACATAGGATATTTGTTGAGACTCCAGCGTTTTCTTATTTGGGCTTGGTTGTTTTACAGTACTTGTTTTGCAGGACTGCACATCCCCAGGAAGGAAATTAAGGTCAGAGATGAGAAAAACCCACCTAAGGGCCTGAAATAATTTTCATTTTTCCAAGACCACCCTGTGTGGGAATGATACATTTAAAATGGGTGGAACCTCTAAGCCTGGAATTGTATCAAGTTATTCATGAAAAATCTCTGAGATCTTTGTGTGGACCAAGATATTTGGGTGGTACTTTCTCACTCTTTCTTCGGAAAAGGCACTGTGGCCTCACAAACTGAAAACTGGCCTTGCTTTTTCCCTGACTTTAAAAATAACTATGTATCTTGAAAAGCTGTCTCAGCAGTAGTGAAGGAATGGAAAAAAAAGTCCATTATATCCCCATGGTTTCATACAGTGCAGCTGTGCTAACAGAGTGCACAGAGACTGAGACCAGGGGAAAGGCACGAAATAGTCCATGAAATGAGCAGTTGAATCTAACAGTAAAGCTTCACGTAATGCAGAGATCGATTGTCCAGGTATCCCATTGCAGATGGCAGGTTTTTGCCTTTATATTTTAGGGGGAAAATCCAGAATAAAAATTAATAAATAAATTCTAGCACTTTTTATTAATAATTTTTTTACTGAAATCAATGAGGAAATTACTATCTTACAGGAAGTCTTTCTTACATTAAATTAACATCTTCAAATATTCTTGCAATATATTTCGTTTACATATCCCTATTCTGTTTTGATTTTCCTTCTGGCAGAATGTCTGTAGAATGAGATCCTATATGAAAAGAACCAGGTTTATAATGAATTAATAATATTTTTATAATATTTGTTGTTTATTTTTATTGTAATTATTATTTTTATGTTAATATAGTATAATTATTGTAACTGGATTATTAAATCAGTTTAAAACTATCTTTCTTTTCTTTTAGAGGAGCAAACATGTATCAACATACAGCTTTCAAAAGTCTTAGGTCTTGGTGCAATTAGCAATTACTAATAATTTAAAAAATATTAGTGCACGCATAATGGAATGAATATCAACCAAATGTAATATGCAATTGCCACAGTGGCTCTATTCCCCCTAACTCGACTCTAACATGCTGGTGGTTGGTTTATAACCCTCTTTAGGTTACAGCATTTTAACGTTTCTCCAGTGTTTATTTATTCTCTTCCCAAAGAATGTTCTGAAATATCAAGTTTACAACCTGTGGCTCCTGTGATGGTAGTGGAAACAATTAAGCAAGAAACTTTCAAAGCCACCACTGGGATTTTGATGCCCAAAGTCATTAATTTTAATAAGAAGGGAGCTGCCAGTCGTCTTAAGTGGTTTGTAAAATCTCAACCCATAAAAACACCTCTCTACTGGTTCCAGTTTACGGGGAGCTCAGAGCAAGGTAAACACATGTAAGAAAATAGTAGGTGTTAAAAGGTGGAAAGTACGTGTTCAGATATCCCTAAGACCACTCAAGGAATCAAAGAGCAGCCTCAGCCTTGAGCTGGCACATGGGGCTGCTCCTGCCTGCAGCATCTCAGGGAGTTGCTGATGGATCAGAGCATGAGGCACAGAGAAGGAATTCAATGGAAACAGAAATCTTGGCTACAGCTCAGTTCCAGTGGCTTCCATTGGCCACCCATTGGTCTCTGCTGCCATCTCAACACCCACAGGGTGTCTGTAGGTGCTTGGTCCAGGTCCTTCCTACCTGCCTAAACTCTCCCAAGTTCTAACTGCATTATCCTCCAAGCTGCTAAATGGCTGAATTTGGATGTTGGTACTTCACTGACCCACCATCATGGTTGGATAAAAATTAAGAACTCTCTGCTGTGGCCTGAGAGACCCCCCCAGTGCAAGCCTGTGAGTGCCTCTTCATTTACGTGAGTCAGGAGGAGATGGCTTTGCTTCAGCCACAAGCCTGTGCCATAGCTGAGGAACTCTTAAAGGCTTTGAAAAGCACCAAGAACTCTCAAAGGAAACTGCAGCACTGGGGAACATTCACCCTCAACATGAAACATGAAAGAAAGTAAAAATTTAGAACTGGCAGATCTATCTGTGATATAAAATAGAGCAGGGAGTGAGTATGAGTGAGTTTGGAAAGGACTCACTGGGAGTCTGAATGATTGGGAAAAGAAAAAAAAAAAGGTATTTTCTTGTGTGTTTTATTAATAAAATCAACCACGGAGAATTTTAGAACTAGTTTTAGAAAACTTTCTTTTTCTCCTCTATCTGTTGTATGATCTCTAAGAATTTCATGAATGTTGGCTACAAGTGACAAGGTTACTGCAGTATTTGCTAGTGAGTCTTATAGTAACAATATTTAATTATCAATAGATATTGGAAAGACTTTTGGATGAAACACAATGCGGTGGAAATAGAGGTGACCATCAAGACTGGTATTGTAACAGACTTCAAGAAAGTCAAAAAGAAAAAAAGCTTTCATTAGTAGTAGATGTGACTTTTTTGGAAAAGAACAAAATGTTCCATAAATGAAACATGTGGTTTCACTTGCGGCACATTTTGTACATTGTCACCAATGAAGTTTAGGATTTTTTATTACTTTTTCATTAAAATGTCTTACTGGTTTCACTCAGGAGGCAAAAGTTTTCACGTGGCTTTAATTGTTTCTGTCATAAAAGTCATAGCATCCATGTAATAGAAATAGTTTTGCAGACCACAGCTTCATATTGCCTATTAATTCTCTCCCATTTTCTGTATGTACAACTCATTGGCCCATCCCAGGGACAGGAAAATTTCTTGCAATTAAGACTCAATATGAACTTCTACTGAAGTTAGGGGGGAAAAATAACTTTATGTCAGTCCTGGTTTATTAGTTTTTTGTTTCAGCTATCTTAGCTCACAATAAGTTCACATGGCTGCCTACCAAAGGAGAGAGTTTATATTGACTTTCTTCTAAAATCAGTGAAACTCTAGAAGATGAAAATAAAAGGTCTTTTTCTGCATCATTCAGTCATGTACAATAGGTTGTAATACTTCAGACAGGATTGAAGAGCTCTGGCAGAATTGTTTCAAGGAGGCTTTGAAAAGGTCATTTACCCCTTTTTTCTTCATTACCTGCTGGAGTTCAGGTCTCACATATCCTATCCCAGCTGCCAAGCTTCCACGGTTCTATCATCAGCCTAGGCTTCCTTCTCCCCAGTCCTGACTGGATGAGGAGATATAATTCTTGTTGCAGTTAAAACAGTGACTTGTTTCCTACAGATGACATCCAAAGTTGGGGAGGGGGGGAAAGGGACAGGACGAAAAAAGAAAAGATAATGAGATAATTTATTAATTTAAGATCAGCTTCTCTTCAGGTATCTGTTTTCCTCAAAGAGAGTAATTTGCCAACTTGGAGCTAGTTTTGTCATTTGACCTTCAGCCCAGCAGGGAAGGCAACCCCTACCACAGACTCTAAGGCCTCTAAGAAGTCATTAAAATACCAGAAAACAGCAATAGATTATCTGTTGCCTTTTCCCCATTTTTCAGTTAAGTGTTTACTTGAAAGCTTCCTATGAAATTCCAGTGCTGTCTTTATTTCTGCCCCAGAGCAAAGGCTTGTGCACCTTCTCAGCAGTCAGGGACACCCACCAAGCAGCGCAGTCTTCTGCTTTCACCTTTGTTTTGGCACCCTTCCTCCTTTACTCATATTTAAATGTTATCTTTTGCAGTTCAAGGACAACAAAGACAAGCCCAGCCTTGGAGGGACTCTCAGTGACTGCCCTGCCCCCTGTCCAGCTTTCTGAGCAGGTCCCACTGGCATCTCCTTCCCTGAAGCCACAGCAGATGGAGGAAGAAGACAGCCTGTCTCCTCACCTCCTGCTGCCCGACAGCATCAGCCAGCTGGAGGAGTTTGGCAGGCAGAAGAAATGGCACAAGAAGCAGCACAAGCACCATCGCCAGAGGCAGTTCAATGACCTCTGGGTTCGGATAGAAGACAGGTGAGTCATGACTGCTCTGGTCCCTGTTCTCTTCCTGCTGGCTTCTCACTCAGTGCTCTTTGCAGATCCCAGATCTTGCTGATTAGACCATAGGGAGGGTCAGACAAAGGCTAACTGGGAGACACAGGGAGAGAGGTGATGTTTTTGTAGCCTAATGAAGAGCTAGGAGGAAAATAGGCGTGTTCATAGGCATGTTTGACCAAAAAGTAAAGAGGAAAAAAAGAGTTAGTGCTTAAAATATTTAAAATACACAAAAACGAAGATTTGTCAGATTGAAAAACAGGAAAAGAGCAACAATAGAAAATACTCTGTGCTTGTTGTTTTTCTTCCAATAATTCTTTTCCTATCTGTACCAGCAGTTTTCATCACAAAGTCTTGCCCATTTTCCAACCATACAGAATATTCTTGAGAGTTCTTAAGATTCTGACAAATTTGACTTTCAACCTTCTTAACTGTGTTGTGGGGCTGAAATGTTTTAACATCTCAGACTGCATTGAAAATAGCAAACTGAAGCAAAATGAAATACTTAACTAAATCCTCCATGTGAAGAATGGAGGCTGGCACTTTTCCATGGCTATTCCAGTCTTGGTCTGAGGTTAAAAACTCCCATTCAATGTTTGAATAAGAGCCTTCGTGTTTGACCAGGGCTTCTCAATGTGTGCTTTTAGGATTCCTGGGCAATTTATTCTCTACCTCTAAAGCTCTTAGTGCCTTTATGCAGACCAAATCATGGGCAGATAAACACCCACAATGTTTATCGATCTTCTAACAAGTAAAAGGAACTAAGTAATATGTTGGGAACTGGCTGCTCCCCTACACATATAATAATTGTCTTTGAGCATTATGTATTCCCATTTTCATAGCACCTAAATTCCTTGAAAGTCTCTCAGAGATTTCTCTCTTTGCTAAGGAAAAAAGCTTCACATATTTGTGTTTTCAGATTTTTATTATTATTACTATTATTTTTATTCTTTCTTTTTAATGGAGCAGTTACCTCATTTTTTGTAGTTTATTGTTTTCTCAGGGTGAATGATGTAAGGGTTGCTATTAAGGTGGTGCATATTAATCTTAATGTAATAAGGCTGTTTCTGAGGTCTGTGCCAGCCTTGTAAGAAGGATTCATGTATTTTCTTTTCAAAGTGTGTGTTCAGTGCTTGGATTCCCTCCACAGAGGATGTTTAAGCATGAACTAGGTGACATTTTGTTCCCCATAGCTGATTGCCTCAAATACAAGGGACTTTTCTGTCCTCCTGCCTGGGGGCTGCTGACTTGTGGTGTCCCATGGTGTCCCAGCATTCCACAAAGGTCTGTGGTCAAGTTCCCCATGTGTTGTACAAGTAAGGTGTTTAAATAGGTCTGGTGGGAGACTGGCACTTGGGCACAATCTTCCCACCTCTACCCTATCTATCCAGAAAGGATATTGGATATTGGCAGTGGAAATGTGCAGTTGGGAGCTTAAGGTGGTTCTTATGGTTTTTGTGCATTTTGCTGGTTTTATTAAATGTTCTTAGGAAAGGGATTTAAGATGTAGTTCTGAAGGTTAGAGTTAAATTATTTGCTGTGTGCTCCTGTGAGATTTCACCTGAATCAAAGCCTTTTATCCCTCTATTTCCATTTCATAAGGGTAGAGATTGGGGTGAGGAAACACAAGTTTCCGCTCCCACCACGCTGGTGACGAACCAGACACTGTGTGTTGCCTGCCTTGATGAAAGATCCCAGGGAGATATTAGTGGGAGATCACAGGCCTAGGAATGAGGAAAGGCTGGTGGAAGAAGGGAAGCCTGCCTTAGTGTTTTCAGATGGTTTTAGTGCTTCTGCAGTTCTGGAGTAACTTCTGGTGTTTTCCTGGAAACAAAGCAAAACAAAACACAAAAAAATACAAGTTCACTAAATCAGAGACTCACAACCAGCTCTGGTTTTCCCATAAATTGGATGGGGTCTCAACTTTCATAAACCAGCTGCTGCATATTGTGCTTTTGGCAGTTGGGTTTCATCAGCATTAATTGCAAGCTGGACCCTGCACAAAGCAATAAACAGTGAGTTCTCTCCAACTGGTTCCTTTCTGATTGGCAAGAAAAGAGCACAAATGTGTGTCTGTGACCAGACCTTGTATGGTGATCATTTCTGGGAGGAAACAAGCAGGGTGGCTGATCACACAGGCAATAGAGTGTTACCTGTGCAGGAGAGAAATGTGGACTTCTTTGCATTGCCTCAGTAATGTTTCAGCAGGGAGACTTAGCGCTCATTTTTGAAAGGTAATTGGAGTACTAGGGAGTTCTTGCTCTGGCCTGACCCAAAAATCCATTGTGCAGTTGCCTACACTTCAGTTGGAGTCCCCTATGTTCTGTATGGACTGAAGTCTCTGCATTTAGTATTAACTTGAGCTATGGCCCTGTATTTCCAAATGGCTGTTCTTCCAGTTCCCTAACTCACCAGTTGTCACCTGAAACTTGAATTGCTCACCTTTGAGACAAAGTAGAGGGATTTAGGTCTTTGTTACAGCTTTTGGGGGAAAGCTGCATAAAGCTCATTGTTTCCATGCAAAGTCCCCAGGATTCAGCTGTTGGAGCTGCCTTTCAACCTGAAAAGTCAAAGAGAAATATGCAGGTGGAGGACAAATCCAGGCAAATTTAAACCAGGTTATTGATTCCTGTATGAACCTCATTGAACTGTGAAATGACTGTGGTTCATACAGCTCTTTTCCAAAGCTTTATTGACCATGGATTAGAGGACTTTATGAGCCATGAATTGCAGGGCTTTTATGGACTACGCATTTCTAGGCGATCTCATACACTTCCATGGAAATCTTAGGGTGTTTTCTTAAGCTACCAACAGAGAAACAAAGGAAATGAACACAGGAGAACAATCTTAAAGGAACATCAAAGGTCTGACTCCAACCTATAAAAGCCAGGAAATCCATAATTAATGGTTCCACTAAGACTTCAGCTCTCACAGTCATTCGGGTCTGATCCAAGGTTATGGCTACAATCTGCAATGGCCTTGTGAAAAATGAGTCATCATTTAATGCCACACATCATTATTAGTGTTTACTTTCAGTTGTACCTTGGAGATTGTCCTTTCCTTTTTGTTCTGTCTTCACAGCTGAGGCATTTGAGTTGGCACCCCTGGGTGGACAGTGTTTAGATTTGTGTGTTGGACGCTTAGTACTGCTGTGGAGGATGAGAAAGCTTCTGCTCTGTCTCCTCCCTGTCTTTCACAGAGCTAAGATTCGCTGATCTCCTGGGTAATCGGCTGCACTGAAGGCTATTAAAAAATAAAAAATGCTGATGAAATGTGTGGTTTCCTCTCCCTTCTGCCTCCTTCCCCCAAAATCTAAACAAACTGAAAAAGTCCTGCCTGACTGCAGTTTCTGTTTGAAATGGCTTGTCAAGAATCAAAATTGAATGGAGATTTCAAGTAGCAAGATTTTTTTTCTTCAACTACTTGATTTTGCAGAAAAGTGCAGATCTGAAGTCTGTCCTTGGGAGAAATTTGAACTTAGGCAAGACTCAAACCCTGGCTACCTCCCATAGCCAAAATCCAGCTGGGGCAGCAGGGAGGGGAGACAAAACCCTGAGGCTGCAAGGCTGAAGTTTGGCATACAGAGTATCATTGTTTCTGTTGACACTGTGTTAGCTGGGCTTCCCCATGTAATATAAATAATTAATTACTGATCATGCACTGGCTTTTCATGGTGAGATGCTCAGTTAATTGAAAGAATAGAGAAATGCCTGTGAGGTTTCAGAGTGGTCAGTGGAGGGCAGGTCAGGATTGCACCTTTGCTGTAGCAGGCAAATGGTTCAAGGCTGCCAGCAAAACCAGTCTAGGAGAACAGAGAACCTCTCCCAGCAGCTGGGGGGAGTTATCCTGGGACCTAAGGCAAGGAGGGAGGAAAACTCCTGGGAAAAAGGAGGGAGGGGAGTTATTAACTAGGAGGGTGTTATGGGAGGGGTGAGGTTTGGAAGGAGCAGTGGCATCTAGGGGATGTGAAAGAGAGAAGTACAGTGGTGGGAACAAAAAAAAGTAGAAAGGATGTAATGGGCAAGTTAATTCTCACTGCCAAGGAAGACATCTGGGTGAAGGTGGTGTTTGGAAAGAGGGTAAGGACACACATGCTTCAGCAGGAAAGAAATTAAGGGCAAAGAATTGTTCTCAGAAGAGGAAAAAAAATTTTTGTCCCAGATGTAAGCTTAGCCCTGCAAAAGCTACCATTAGTGGAAAATGAAATGAATTCTCCCTGTAAGTAGAAATGGCAGCTCTCTGATAGCCCAGTGCAGACTATTCAACCCCAGATGAATGCAATAACATCACAAATATCAATTTATTTTGGAGAAGCAGTTGTTTTAGGGGGAAAAAATGTATAGCAGTGATGGATGAAGGGAGACAATATGTAATAAACTACACTGAGTTTGCCTATACAGAGTGAACCTTATCAGTTTGGATGGAATTTAAGCACTTAGTCTGTTATCCTTTCTTTCAAGACAATGCAGTGATGGAAAACAGAACTCTGTCAACTCAGACAAACTTTTAATTCCACTTAACTGCATCTGAAAGGTAAATTTCAGTAAATTAATCCAAATTGCTTCCTTTTCACAACACATGGTGCTGAAATACAGTACTTAACTTCATTAAAGAAAAGACTGCTTTTATTTAGAGGAGACCTAGACACCTTTGAAGTCTAACAGGTAAATTGTGGTCAGATGATTTCCCTTCACATGGTAGCTTTGAGCTTGAAATTTCCATCACTGGGGCCTTGTTTGTTTAAATTACCCTGTCTGCCTCCCTGGTCAGGACACTGCCTGAAGAGTGCCTCCTGATGCTCATGGGGAGGGGGATCACTGCTCCTCCAGCCTGTGCAGCCAAGGAAGCAGTGTCACCTTTGCATTTGTTTGCCCTGTGTTCAACCAGGGATGAGGACACAGCTTCAGGACTTCTCTATCTTGCAGGGCGTGGCATGCAGATATCTACAGTCAGCAGAAGAACTTCAGGGTTTGTCAGTT